ATCACTCTACTCATCTAAAGCATTAAAAATGATCTCGAGAGAATTTTGAAAATCACTGAGAGATGAGTCAGTCGAATTTTCACAGGAAATTCTTTACGTTTTTTCTCTTTTCCCAAATCCTGGATTTTCCATAAAAAAGGTAAATTGAAAAATTTTTTTTAACGAACAAGAAAAATTCTTCATCATGTAATTTTAATCGAGCGTGATTCTTCAGTTGTAATTCTTATAATAAATTCTTGTCTCCATCGCTGAATATGAATGATGATCCCATGGACACATTATAATCACGAATTGATGAGTCAGACAAATTTCCTTGTACAAGAAACATTTTACAATTGTTTTTCTCGACTCTCCTAGCTTGTATTTTCCAATTACTGATATTTTTCTCACGAATACACACAACTGTATCTCTCAATCTATTAATACCTACCTGTTTAATTAAACCAGCAATTCTGGAATTTTTTAGTGCAGAGGAAAACAAGTGGTATTTCCCTCAAGATTACGAAGCTCTCCTGTCATTTTTCGGTAATTAGTCTCTCCGGACAGAGAAAAAAATTTTTTAATTTCATACAAAAAAATGAGACCTACCAAAAAGGTATCAACGAAAAAATCGTTATCTTCTTTCAAGTTGAAGATACCGGGTAAAAAAAATTCACTAATCCTAGTTCAACACTTCGCAACAGATTTGCCATTATGAGTACAGGTGGGAATTATAGTATAAAAATTCTCATGGAAAAATTGAGTATCGAAAAATGCAAAGAATAATTGGCAAGTGAAAAAAAATGGTTTTTTTAAATTTCTTGTTAAGTCTGACTCCGCCCACATGCGAGGCTAAAACAATGGGGATTACTAGCAATTTTCGATGAGCTGTCATCAACCACCCACGGTTATATGGCGTTGGATTGGGTTGAAACGCGCGGCTTTGACTTTAAGGGGCGATGAGGAGGGATTCGCGGGGTACCGTGGGGTACCGTGGGGCACAGGGAGAGGGGTATATAACACACTGTCATTTGTGTGGTCCGGTGTTGCTTGTCGGCACTTGGGTTATGGAGTTGAGAAAAGAATATAAGACAGAGAAGACCACCTTCGTGGAAAGACCACTCTGGGCCCCACCGAGAGAGAAGAGTGATCCTCTTGAAACAAAAATGAAAAAGAGAGACTGAAAAAAAAATGTGAAAAAGAAGAGGAGAAATTGTATATTCAACCACGCGCGCACGAGACCCTGAGAACAAGACTGTGTGGATGGACCCATGGAGTCTACGATGACCACAGGTGGGATTTAAGATGATTGTTACTGAATTCCTTCTTAAAAAGGGACAGCCATTTTTATCCCATTGAAATTTCTCCCTTTTTTTTTACCTCACAACATGCTGATGATGACTTTGCCATTGTCAGGATCCACGCGGTCATTTATTCCATCGTTACTTAATTTATTAATTTGATAATTCGTCATTTACATATTTCGCAATTCTTTGAACTAAATATTATTCTCGGATTAAGTCGAATGGAAAAGTAATGCACTAGGCTTGAAGAATGTTAGCGACAAACTTTTGGGTTTTTGCAAAAAGATTTATTTATCTGACGCATTTACTTTTATTGATATTATACGTCTTTAATTGTTATTTTTTATTTTTTAGGGGAGAGAACGGAATTCAGATGGAAATAAACTAGCTCAAATATTAATTTCTGTATTAAGGGAAATATGCCTTCCAAAGTCTCCATTTTGCCCTACTCTCCTCTAAGAAAAAAGAACGATATTTTTCCTCTGTAACTTACAACAATTTACTACAATTTTCAATAACTAATGCACTGAAAAAATTTCCAGCAAACGAAAAACAAATGGTTTACCAAAAATTATTCCAGGATAATCTCCAGTCCTTAATTATTGTTCCCCCGTCACGATGACCATCTAAATTTATGAATTGTTAATGAAACCTAGACTAGACATTTCTTCATTTCACTCGAGATTATCTTCAACCATTCCCTAACAAAACGATTTCAAATAACTTTATTTCAAAATCCATACATTTTTCTTGTTAAAAAATTATGAGAATTATCAAAAAAAAAAGAAAACAGTCGTATAAAATTCTAATTTCAATCGTGATAATTAATGTAAGATGTATTAAACCACACCCGGCATTCAACAATTGTACAACGTACGTAATTATGTAACGTATCAGGTGCTTGCATCGCATGACAAACGGTGTAAATTTCCTATAGACAATAATCCACCAGTGCAAATATTCAACTTCCCTCAATTCCACGAAGAGGCTGAGGAAAAAAGAAGCAAAAATAATGAGAACCAATACATACGAACGAATTATTAAGGATTGACGGTGGAATGCAACGAGTCATGTATATATATTCGAAAATCTTCTCAATGGCACCTCGTTGTCTAACGCGGAAAGAAACAAATGAAGAGGGCACATATATATATATATAAATATATATATATGTATATAAACGGTTGAAGAAAAGTCGAGGAGTGCCCACCTGGCTGGACTCATCAGCCAGCTGCGGAATAAACAGGTAGATAGAAATACTGCCTTCCTCAATGTGTGTACACAAGTTCTACCACTGCTTTTTTCCTCTTTTTTTCCCCTCCAGTCTCATTTATTTCTTCTTTATCCAGGTGCAAGCAATTATGATTTAAATACTTTGAAAAAACGTTGGAGATTCCTATGGTGATAATTTTATTCTTCTCCAGGTGTTTTCCTCGTATTTAATTTGTACTTGCCGCTGGAGATTTCATTAGTTGAGACGTTTTATTTAGTCAGTTGCAGATTCATCAACATGCGGATTCTGGTGGCAGTGAATTTTAATTATTGCATACTTTTTTTTATGGAGATTCAACAATTCCCCGTATATATATTTTCATTGAACGGGGTAAAAATTGAAGATTTACAAATTCTCATGTTAATTCCTAATTCCAAATAGCTAATAAACCACTTCATGAATACTCACATCATACATGATTTTTTGTACATAATTCTTGTTAATTCTGTGATCAACAAAAATGTCGGATTTACGTATTTATATTCTCGTAAATAAAATTAATAGTAAAACACTAAAACTGGTTGTATTTTGTTCAGTTAATTGAAATAAAAAAGTGATTTATTATCAAAACCGGCGTAAAGCTATAATATTCTGTTGATTCTGGATTTTTCCATAATTTTTCCTTTTCAATGAAAATAAAATTTCAATCTCGAATCGTGTAGTTAGGTAATGTCATTAAAGAAGGGCTCGTACAGTGCAAAAGAGAGAGGTGTGACCATAGAATTGATGAGGATACTGCGGCACGCATAAACTCAAGGCAATGTGCCCACAAATATTCATCATTTCACAACGTCCAGGAGTGAAAAATAAAAATAAAAAAATTCTCGTACAAGAGAGATGAGGGAAAGGTTCCTTTTTCAATTAAAAGGCAAAAAAGCGTTCGCCTTGGGTATAGTGTTAGCCTTCTCATGAGGTTGAGGTTTCTTTTAAAAGGTTGGCACTTTCGGGCTGCGGCAGACAGCGCGTCGCCCAAGACCCCCAGGCTAACTCCTCTCTAGAGATGCTCTTCACTGCCAACATCATCTCCAGCCATCCACCTTTTTTATAAAGAAAAAATATAAAATGCAAAAAAAGACACTGTCCAGTTGAGACAAAATGTCGCTTCAGACCGGTATTTTTTTTCTACTTCACAATGAAGACTAATTTTAGAAATTGTCATTTTTTTTTTCATTTGGGGTATTCTCTCTTTACAATAATGTGATCGACCATTTTTTCTCCTATAAATAATCTATCCGAAACTTCTGGAGACACATTTAATCCATTTTCTCGATTAAAAAAAATCCACATAAGAGCTAATTGTTGCTCCATCCGTTTTAAACAATAGACAACTTCAAATGTTTACTTTCTCACACTTTCCTATCTGCAAATAAACAAAGCAAAAAGTCCAATAAACACCGAAAATAGAAATGGAAATGCGAGATGGAATCTGGTTTTCTGGATATGGAAATTCGGGTGTTCTGGTACTGAATCTCAATATTTCGAATGACTTCGCTGAATCTCTAAATTGAACTAAAAATAACAGTTTCATCACTGATAATTCCAGAGGAAGAATGGTATTTTATAATATCGCAGGTGACGAAGCGAAGAAGATCCGACAGTGTCTTTTTCACACATACATTTTACCTTCTCCTCGCTTGTTTCCAAGTCAATGAATTCAGGAATCACCTCCCCAGCCCCTTCTTACTGCAGTATACACGGGATATTATTACCGGAGCTCAGGTTTTCGCCGTGAAATTTTCACTTTCTACCCAATCGAAGAATCCAATAATTTCTTCCATATTTAATCCCACACAATCCTCCGCGACATTTTCAAAAACTGCATTCTCATAAAATAACTGACAATATTCTTATTATTTTTATGCATGTGGAAAATATTCTATAGTTTGAGTGAAATGTGAAACTCACCGTCGTTTACATAACGCATCTGTGGCATTAGAAAGTCCACTTTGGATTACCAATATTTGTGTGACATTTTATTAACAGAAAATCAAGGATAAAATGCATTTTCTCCTTTACCTGAGTAATGTAATCAATTAATTACGTAAAATATTCATGAATTGAGAGAAACCAAATCGACCAAATTTTACATGTTTTTCCTTGCATTTTTTTTGCAAGAAAAACCTTTCCTTTGTTTATTCATGGTTACAATATTCCTTAAGAACTTTCTTGTGTCTCTTCCCAGTTCATTGCACGTTTAAATATATTTAGAAAATACCAGAATGTTTCCGTTTTTTTATTTGTTTCATCACATATTGATAGCCATCAGTTCTCTAATAGCGATTGGTCAATTTGAATTTTTAATTTACAGGAAGTCAATTCCAAAGAGAATTAAGTTGTAACTCGTAAACATATAAATAACAAAATATTACAAACAGTTCAGCGAAAAGGGGAAAATGTCAAGGTAGGATTTTATAAAAAGAAAGATGAACGAAGTTCCTATGGAATTCGGTGACAAAAAAAATTATTATTTAATCGTTTGTCTTACATGTCCGTCATTTTGGAAACATAATATCAACTTACGTCGCTATGTGAAAACGGATGAAAAAAGTGTGAATTCGCACTTATCCTAATAACGAAGTTTGAAATTCACCAAAAATAAAGAAAAAAAAATCACATCTCAGAGCTTTCCATATAAAATTTGCATTGGTATCTTTCCACAAGATCTAAGAAACAATAAATAATCATACTTGTCCATAAGTAATTCTCCATTCTTCAGTAAGATCATTGCACTCGTATGAAAACAAATAAATTGAGAGTTGAGAAGGGTTTTTTTTACATTTGATTTTTCGGGAAAACTGCCGTGAGGAGATCGGGCTTGTTCACCTTGCCCATGCTGTTCTTTGGAATCCTGTCGACTACCTTCAGCACCGTGGGAACGGCATACTCGGGTAGTGATTTCTTACCAAATTCACGAAGTTGGGATAGAATTATTTCGGCTCCTTCACGTGCTACCACAACCGCTGCCACCTATAAGAAAAAATCCATTTTAATCACAAATATCACGCCGAACCCTTCCAAAAAAAAAACCTTTAACATTAGAAATATTTTTTCAAGCGTGTGAAACATCTCTGCCCGTCAAAATATTCACTCGGATCATTTGAAAAGTCGATGAAGCTAGAAAAAATAAAGAGTACCATTCGAATCAATCATTCAAATGCAGAAATGCACATGTTAAATTTATAATCCAATGAAACGAGCTCGACACTCTATTTAGAGATGAAAAAGAAAAATTAATAGGAAATGAAGGTTTGTTTATGCACACTGTTTGGTAACAGAATTTGCGTATATCGCCACGTGGGTCTACTGAAATTCTTCCGTCTTACTTTTTCTCCCCACGTGATGTCTGGCAGTCCGACAACTGCGCAGTCAATAATATCGGGATGACCGAGAATTGCCGTTTCCACTTGCAGGGCACTGACCTTGTAGCCACCAGTTTTTATTATATCTACAGAGCTACGACCCAAGATACTGTATACACCTTTATCATACTGTGCAGTGTCTCCTGTGGATTGATATTTATTATTATTCAATCCTTATAAATGGCAAAATTGAAAAAAAAAAATTCTGATGGACATCTTATTGCGAAGTTTCTTTACCAGTTTTGAACCATTCATCCTTCGTGAATTCCTTGCCGGTGGCCTCTGGTTTTTTCCAGTACTCCCGAAACACACTTTCCCCCTTGACTTGCAAATCTCCCACAATTGGGCCCTTACGATTGTTAATGACCTTGGTACCAGCCCAGGATCCCTCAGCCAACACCTCTGGTATATTGCCACCTTCTTGCTTGGTTATTCTCACATGAACGCCTGGCAATGGTGTCCCAACGGTCCCTAAAAAATATCCAAGTCCTCCATCATTTGTTATCAAGAGATTTTTCGATCTCAAAAGTCTGAAGACTATAACCCCATAGTTATTAATATTCGATTTGAAACGGTTTGAAAGTGGTTTTTCCTAAGCACCTGGAATACGTTGACCTTCGAGTGGATTGGAGAGGACCATACCAGTCTCGGTCATGCCATACCTTTCCAACAAACGGTGTCCCGTAATTTCTTCCCATCTGTCGAAGATGGGCTTTGGAAGTGGTGCAGATCCACTGACCATTAACCTTCGAACAAAAAAAATTGAAATAAGTTGCTTGTGAAGTTTTTGTTCTGTATGCTGGCGATCATTAATTATTTCATTGAGAGGAAGTTCTCTGGCAGGTTGATAAATAAATATTTTTGATTGAAGAACTATTTTTTTCATGAGATTGATAAATTCCATATGCGGCACTTATTTAATATCTACAAAATTAACAAGTTTACCGTAGAAATTTATAGTAAATTCTTGTATATAAATATTTAAATATTTATCCGATCAATCCTTACTTTGGTTATTCGACTGAGATAAACTTGAATGAATTACCTGATTTTTGTACTGCACACCGTGTGCACATACTCTTTCATTTTGGTATTTTTGCTGAAGAGTTGTTCATACTCCTGAATTAATTTCATATAGATCGTGGGTACAGCCATGAACATGTTGCACCTCTCGGAATTCTGCAGATTGATACCCAGCAAGTGAGTCCACACATTGGACGTCTCGAATTTCGGTAACATAACACACCTTGCACCGACGTACAATGGACACATGAGTACGTTAACGATACCATGCACGTGATTGAGAGGCAGAGTGTGAAGAATAATGTCCTTTTCCGACCATTTCCACGCCGTAATCAACGCGTTCATCTGTGACTGTAGATTTCTATGGCTCATCACCACTCCTTTTGGTACTCCTGTTGTTCCAGATGTGTAAACAAACATGGCATTTGAGTCATTGTAAAATTCATCTTTGAGGGGTGTCTCCTCAGAATCACCAAAGTCATATTCGTATTTTTCGTAGCTCTTGTTGTTGGCTGTCTTTCCATCGGGTTTCATTGCCAATACCCTCAGGGCATCATCGAAAACCATCAAACGACAATCACTCCCTTTTACCAAACATTCCAACATTGGTGCATGCTCCGACGTCGTTATTATAACTTTAGCATTAGAATCTTTGAGATAATAATTCAGGACTGATGGTGGACTTGAAGCGTTCAATGGTACAGCTAGAAGGAGAAATTTCAGAATAATAAAATATATTTCCCACTGAAATCTGCCGGAGGGAGTGAAAATATTTCGGAATCTAAGACACATGAAATGGTTTTTTGCCTCTCAATTCTAAGAAAGAAAATTCCGTGGTGAGAATTCCACTGTATTTTTAAGTGCTAAGAGAAAAATAAAATGTCGAGCACACTTTATTTACCAATTTGACCACTCATCCAGCATGCCCACTGTACAATAATATATCTCGCATCATTAGGGAGAAGAAAAGCAACTCTCTCCTGTTGTTTTCCATTCAAAATATCAGACAATTCATTGGAGAATTGTCTGGAGCTCAGGAATAGGCCGCGGTAGGTGTAGTCTCCCTGCAGATCTCTCAATGCAGTTTTATCTCCAAATCGTATGGCGTTTCTGAATATTGGGATTACATTGTTACTTGGTGGCTGCAAAAAAAAAAATAAACGAATCACATAATGCACGTGTCAGCATTTTATTGCAAAATCTTTTTCATTCATTATTGCCCCGAAATATTGAGAAGCTAGAGAAAATTATATAGGTACTTTTTTTTCATAGCCCAGATTCTTTTTGATGAATCAGTTATTTTTCTGCGCACGTGTGACAGCTTTCGTCTTTAGTTCAAAGATATCCATAGAATCTAACGGGGTAAAAGTCAGCTATTTTTGGATTACTTTCAAATACTTGGTTCAAATTTGAATTCAAAAGAGAAGTTCATCAAGTTCTATAATTTGACAAACTATTGAAGAATTGAAAAGCTTCGCCAAAAAAAATCATTTTCATTCGATTGCCCGAGTTATCCCAATTTAAACGTTCAACCATTAACCACTATTAATAGTTTGATGTAAATATCCAGTCGAACTCACAAAAAATTTCCAACTCTAACATTTCTAAATCTAATCCGACTTGTAACTGACTTTTCTGTGAGGAACTGTCATATGTACAATTTTGTAAAAAATATTGTGTTCTTACTCTAGTTATTCGGCTAAGAAATATATCGTTATCATTTACCTGTTGTGTCTCATTGATGGAGCTCAATGCAGCGTGTGTTTGTTGGAGCCTCTTCAATGCCAGTGGCTTGTGTACTCTTAATATCTTGCTCACTGCTAAATGCAAACTGCGCCTCAAAAGTGATCCCATTTTTTAAATACTCAGATTTCCTTATCGAATGTTCAAGTTTCTGAAATAGAAAAAATCATAAACCAACTTAAGAGAATTCAATAAAGAAATTATGAAACACACCTAGTTTCCCCTCGTCTTGTCAGTTGTGGACTTATTTCGAAATTCAGTGGTTATAAAAAAACCAAAAGCAAAATACCACATAAATTCCTCCACAAAACAGCAACTAACCTCCAGCAAAGGGCTTTTATAATATTCTCATAAAATTACTACCATCATCGGATCAATAAATAATTTACAAATGTCATAGTTGAGCTACTACGTGTTAAACCCTCTACGGGATTATTTCGTCATGCACATGAATTGTATATCCATTTATGTCTTGTTCATAATACATGCATTAAAGTAAACATTTTGGCTTATAGTCATTTTGAAAAATGGGAAGAGGAAGAAAATCTTAAGGCTTCTGACATACACCTGTTAGTAATGATAATCTTTTTCTGAGAGTTGTCTCGAATGAAAAGGATACTAATACTAGTGATAAATATCATTAACGAGGAGAATACATTACCAAAGATGGTGAAAAAATCTCTCATCTCGTATTAGTGCCGGTTTTGACATATCTTACGGCAAAACGAAAGGATAAAAATAATCCAAGTGTCACGAGATAACTTGATTATAACGCGAGTTGCAGTTATTTTTATTCTATTGGCGCCAGACCTCGATGTTTGAAAAAATTCTGAATGTTGAAAAAACAGAAAGCCGTGTAAATCGTGCACTTTTGATGCACTCTTGTAAGTAGGTATGTGTGGAGTGAATAAAAATCGCAAAAGCCGGACTCTTTGGGTGGGAAAAATTGTGTAACCTTAATTTCGGTGTGTAGATTTTTGTTCCTAAAAGTGTCGACAGGGGGCAAATGGTGATTTTCGTTGATTAATCGCTCCAAAACAATAAATATCCAGGGATTGTTAATATCTCCAGTAATATTGCCAAGATTATTGTCAGGTCTTAGTAGAAAGAATCATTTATTGTTTCTGAAGGTGAGCTAATTTATTATTTGTTATTTACTCTTCTTTGGGAGCTCTTTCGAAACACTTTGAGGTTATACTTAATATAAACAATATGAAGAACTCTTTTTGTTCTTATTGATTCGCATTTACTTTTATTAATTAAGTGAATTAAGTGAATGTAAACATTTGAAAGACTTCTTCATTTTTAAATAGCTCGCACTGTACCCTGTACCCTGAAGAATTCGATGAAATTGTCAATACCTTGAGCAATGCTAGAATAAACCAAATTAATTTTTTTTTTTAAGTGAAGATGGGTGAAAGATATAATATTCACAGTCAATTGGAGCATCTCCAATCTAAATACATCGGTACAGGCCATGCAGATACCACAAAATTCGAGTGGATGGTGAACCAGCACAGGGACTCCTGCAGTTCTTATATGGGTCATTACGATCTACTCAATTTCTTCGCAATCGCTGAAAACGAAACCAAAGCCAGAGTCAGGTTTAATCTCATGGAAAAAATGCTGCAGCCCTGCGGACCACCTCCTGAGAAACCTGAAGATTAATCTAATATTACTTTTTTTTTCATAATCATTAATTTACTCAACCAATAATCAATTCAAGGGCGATAAGGGAGGTATCAATAAACAATTGAATAGTTTTTTTCGTACGTGCAAAACTAGTTTATTTCTGTTTTTATTCTATGCTCTTTCTCTTTCTCTCTCTCCTTGAGTGTTTTCATAACAGATTTCACTAATCTCTGCTGTGCGATGAGGGAAATGTTTTTAGAGGCTTCAGTCAGGGTTTCTAACACTGGAGCTATGGCGGATATATCAATGTCTCCAACGAAATACAATTCAGCGACTTGATCGTGTTGAGGTAGATAGGCTTGCATAATTATCCCATGATTCTTTGATTTATGATTTTTGGTTGGGGCTGTGCTGCAGAGTGCCTCTTCTTCTGTAGTTGTATCGAGGAACACTGTGTCTGAATAAATTCCCTGGAAAATTATTATTCATCGTGAGAAATTATGAAAGGTAGTGGGGGGTCAATAGGAAATTTTCAAATTCGAGAAATGTAGTGTGTTGTTGGAAAGAAAAATTACAGAAATTTTTCAGATCTGGAAAGAAATGAGAGGAGTTCAAAGTACATAAGTTTAAGATTCTGCCCTCAATTAATTCAATCGAAAGACACAAATGAAATAATTATGTAATAAAATGAAGAAATAGATAAAGTCATAATTACAGCAGAAACGGCCGTTACAAGGCCAAACATTGGAATGCTAGCGTTCGCTAAGGCTAGACTAGCCGCAGTTATTGCAGCAGCTAAGCAGGAACCACCATTGTCCAAAACCAGGGCATAAATATCCACTTGAAAGTTCGGAAATTCGTGCTGAAATCAATTCCATCCATTAAATATTTATTTAATGGAATGATAAAAAATGTAACACAACAAATTCGATTCGTCAGAAATGAGGAAATACGAAATTATTAGTACCCTGCAAACAGCTGGCTCCAGTGCTCTCTGCATAATCAAACTGTATTCTTTCTCCTGTGAGTCTTGCTGATGAATTTTCCTCTTTTTGCACGAGAACGAAGCGAACTTGAATTCACAGTAAAGATTACCTTGAACACTGTAACCCATTTTGTTCGGAATTTCTCGTGGATCAAATACTGAGCACACAACTTTTGTTGTTCCAATTTCAATGTAGGCTGAACCTTTCGCCTGACTGATAAGACCAGTTTTCATGACTTTAAATGATAAACAGAAAATTAAAAATAATATTTTTTCCAAATTTAGGACCACATTACATTTCTACCAGTCCTCATAAAATTTATTCGACAAATTATAAATTAGGACATCCAAAGGAGAACTGGCAAGACTTCGAAAGTTAATATATTTATCTTTAATGAGTTTTAGTGACATCATCTTTTAGAAAGAGCATAATTAGCTAAAATCTCAAAAATCCACATTTGCTCAAGATTCGTCATTTGATAATTAATTCGAGAAAAAAGCTTTGGGCAAAGTTGAATTGTTATTGTTATTCTTGTAATAATCGGTATGGAAAGAGGAAAAAAATAATAACAAAAGTGAGAAATACAAATTCATAACCTACACATTTTCCGGATATCATCATGGGCTCGTCCATCTTCTCGTTTATTTAATAGATCTAATTGTTGCTCGGCGGTGTTCGATGATTTATCAATATAGAGTTGATAAGGTACTGTTACCTCAGGCCCATTGATTCGTCTCTGATCAACAGGCATGTTCTTGTTTCACTTCTAGTACGGATTTTTTGTATTTATTGTTGAAAATAGAGAGTGGAAACATGCCATGTTTATGCATGAAATTAAATAGGGTTGCGCCATCTGTTCAATTTTTCAGAAAGTTCAGTAATGATTTTTTTCAGGATTAGCACGAAAGAGGATTGACTGAAATTTGAAATTTCGAAATTTTTCGAAAAGTATCAGGGGAGCATGAAAATCGAGGAGGTATTCACTGAAATTGAAAAATTCGAAATTTTCAAAAAAGTATCAGGGGAGTATGCAAATCGAGGAGGTATTCACTGAAATTGAAAAATTAAAAAATTTCAAAAAAGTATCAGGGGAGCATGAAAATGGAGGCGGTATTGACTGAAAATTGAAAATTCGAAATTTTTCGAACAGTATCAGGGGAGCATGAAAATCGAGGAGATATTCACTGAAATTGAAAAATTTTTAATTTTCAAAAAAGTATCAGGGGAGTATGAAAATCGAGGAGGTATTCACTGAAATTGAAAAATTTTAAATTTTCAGAAAATAAAATCCACCCAGCCGATGGGTGCCTCTGACAGCGGGACTACTACTGAGGCAGTTACCGAGTCGACTGACGTGCAGACACCCCACCATTCAGTGCGACCCCCTCTTTCTCTTGGGGTGAGGTGCTACAATGCCAGTGGGGTCGCTCAAACCCCCACTGGGCGGCTCAGTTCTGGGGGGGGCACCTCACCCCAAGAGAAAGAGGGGGCCGCACCCAATGGTGGGGTGTCTACCCGTCAGTCGACTCGGTAGTTGCCTCAGTAGCAGTCCCGCTGTCAGACACCAATGAAGTGGGTAAATTTTATTTTCTGAAAATTTAAAATTTTTCAATTTCAGTGAATACCTCCTCGATTTTCATGCTCCCCTGATACTTTTTTGCAAATTTAAAATTTTTCAATTTCAGTGAATGCCTCCTCGATTTCTATGCTCCCCTGATATTTTTTTGAAAATTTCGAATTTTTCACATTTCAGTGA